TTATATAATGGTTGGGATTAAGATGATAGTCTAGAAATATGTATTCATGCTTCTTTTATCATTTTACAAAATATCTTTGCATATTTCCACATATTTCATAATATTTCCACAATGTCTCTAATTTTTACAATATTTCCCCTTGACATTTCCGATATATGTCCTATATTTTGGTAAGCGACATTTCCATCGACATCGACATTTTAAAACTTGGATTGAGTTATATCGAGCTTTTCATGAGCCGGTCTCAAATAGCTTGTGAAAATATTGGCTAGTGGTCACCCCCCTAATGGATACTATCCACCACCTCATGCCATGACCTTCTTCTCTCTAGAGGCCATCTCCATAGCCATTTTCTTAATAGAGCTTCATTCTTATGACTAATAGAGCTTCATTTTCCCTATTAGTACATAATTATGGAAAGGACAGTTGTGGCTCTACAAGAAAGACTAAAACAAAGGAAGAATAATGTACATAAGATACATCATAAAAGGGTGCTCCCAAGTGACATAAATCAGTCTCTACACCCCACTCAAACTGATGCCAAGGTACAAGCATCAGTTTGCCAACTAGAAACTAGTGATGAGCACGAGTGTGGCAAAGATGTGTCCAATAGAAAATTGATCTTTGATGAAGTGGCAATCAATCTCTACATGTTTGGTCCACTCATGGAAGATTGGGTTGGATGCAATCTTGGTAGCACTTACATTGTTAGCATAAATCAAAACTAGAGATGCTAAGGAGGTACCAAGGTTATCGAGGAGGGCTCTTAGCCATATTATCTCACTACAGACAGAGGACATAGCCCTAGACTCAGCCTTAGTAGAGGACTTGGAGACAATATGTTGCTTTTTACACTTCCAGGATATGAGAGTCACCAAGAAAGACACACCAGCTAGTAGTGGATCGACATCCTACCCAATTAGCGTCTGCATAAGCAGAAAGGCTAAGTGGAGTAGATGCAGAAAAGAAGATGCCATGTGAAAGTGTTCCACGAATGTATCGGATAATACGAAGAACTGCAATCATGTGTGGTTGTCAAGGAGAAGAGACAAACTGACTAACCACTTGGACAACATAAGAAATATCCGAACATGTCATAATAAGGTAGATAAGGCTACCAACAAGTTGTCGATAAAGAGTAGCATCCGCTATGGGGTACCCATCATCCTTCAAAAGTTTCAGATTCATCTCAAGAGGTGTGTCAACTTGTTTGTCATCATTCAGGTTTGTAGATTTCACAAGATCCATTGCATACTTGTGTTGATTAACAAAATACCCATAGGGAGAATAAGTGACTTCTAGCCCCAAGAAATAAGTAAGATGACCAAGGTCCTTCGTTTTGAAGGACTAATTAAGAAGCTGCTTCAAAGAAGAAATGCTATGATTGTCATCATTGGTAATGAGAGTGTCATCCACATACAGAAGTAATAGTGTCTCGACATGAACAGTGAATAATCTGAGTAATTCTGAGATTCCTTTCTTCCCAAAGAGTCCAAGTCAAGGCAGCACGAGCACATCTCCACATAATTCTCCCTATTTTTGTAGGCCAATAAAAGGTAGAATGGTTGAAGAGCATGTGAACTTCTGCTGGTAGACTCCAATTACCCCCAAACAACGAAAGTAGCCAAGCCCAAAGGTCTGCAGAAAAGGGACAAGATACTAATAGATGGTAACAATCCTCACCGTGAGCTCTACAGAGGATACACCAATTAGGAGAAATACAAAGAAAAGGTCTTCTCTTTTGTAGGTTGTCTAAAGTGTTTACTTTCCCATGGAAAACTTCCCAACAAAAAGCCATAATTTTTGGGGGGACTGGCCTCCACCAAATTTCTTTTGACGGAAAGTTGGGGATCATGGATTGGTGCAAGCGTACTTACAGGATCAAGAGAAGAGGAACTCGTGGCTAGAGATGATGGATCAACTTTTGGTGATGAAGGGGGCAGAGTGATAGAAGCCGGAGCAGCTAGCCTCTTCCTAAAAAAGACACAGAGCAATTCTGGAATAGGAGGTGAATCAAAAGAATAAACCATCGAAATGGAAGTAGCAGGTAACTTAGCAGTGTAGGCAAAAAAAGAAATGTTTTCAAGGAAGATGACATTGCAGGACACATCAACCCGACGAGATTGGGGATCATAGCAGAGGAAGCCCTTATGATCAGGGCTATATCCCACAAA